CGATTGAATAAGAAAAAAAAACATTGGGTTGAAGGTTTTAGTTGAGGTAGATAATGGCGATTGAATAAGAAGAAAAAAAAACATTGGGTTGAAGGTTTTAGTTGAGGTAGATAATGGCGATTGAATAAGAAAAAAAACATATTGGGTTGAAGGTTTTAGTTGAGGTAGATAATGGCGATTGAATAAGAAAAAAAAACATTGGGTTGAAGGTTTTAGTTGAGGTAGATAATGGCGATTGAATAAGAAAAAAAACATATTGAAGTTTTAGTTGAGGTAGATAATGGCGATTGTTATTGGTTTTTTAGTTGAGGTAGATAATGGCGATTGAATAAGAAAAAAAAACATATTGGGTTGAAGGTTTTAGTTGAGGTAGATAATGGCGATTGAATAAGAAAAAAAAAACATATTGGGTTGAAGGTTTTAGTTGAGGTAGATAATGGCGATTGAATAAGAAAAAAAAACATATTGGGTTGAAGGTTTTAGTTGAGGTAGATAATGGCGATTGAATAAGAAAAAAAACATATTGGGTTGAAGGTTTTAGTTGAGGTAGATAATGGCGATTGAATAAAAAAAAACATATTGGGTTGAAGGTTTTAGTTGAGGTAGATAATGGCGATTGAATAAGAAAAAAACATTGGTTGAAGGTTTTAGTTGAGGTAGATAATGGCGATTGAATAAGAAAAAAAAAAACATATTGGGTTGAAGGTTTTAGTTGAGGTAGATAATGGCGATTGAATAAGAAAAAAAAAAATTGGGTTGAAGGTTTTAGTTGAGGTAGATAATGGCGATTGAATAAGAAAAAAAACATTGGGTTGAAGGTTTTAGTTGAGGTAGATAATGGCGATTGAATAAGAAAAAAAAAACATATTGGGTTGAAGGTTTTAGTTGAGGTAGATAATGGCGATTGAATAAGAAGAAAAAAACATTGGGTTGAAGGTTTTAGTTGAGGTAGATAATGGCGATTGAATAAAAGAAAAAAAACATATTGGGTTGAAGGTTTTAGTTGAGGTAGATAATGGCGATTGAATAAGAAAAAAAAAAACATATTGGGTTGAAGGTTTTAGTTGAGGTAGATAATGGCGATTGAATAAGAAAAAAAACATTGGGTTGAAGGTTTTTAGTTGAGGTAGATAATGGCGATTGAATAAGAAAAAAAAACATTGGGTGAAGGTTTTAGTTGAGGTTGATAATGGCGATTGAATAAGAAAAAAAACATTGGGGTTGAAGGTTTTAGTTGAGGTAGATAATGGCGATTGAATAAAGAAAAAAAACATATTGGGTTGTTTTAGTTGAGGTAGATAATGGCGATTGAATAAGAAAAAAAAACATTGGGTTGAAGGTTTTAGTTGAGGTAGATAATGGCGATTGAATAAGAAAAAAACATTGGTTGTTTAGTTGAGGTAGATAATGGCGATTGAATAAGAAAAAAAAAAAACATTGGGTTGAAGGTTTTAGTTGAGGTAGATAATGGCGATTGAATAAGAAAAAAAAACATATTGGGTTGAAGGTTTTAGTTGAGGTAGATAATGGCGATTGAATAAGAAAAAAAACATATTGGGTTGAAGGTTTTAGTTGAGGTAGATAATGGCGATTGAATAAGAAAAAAAAACATTGGGTTGAAGGTTTTAGTTGAGGTAGATAATGGCGATTGAATAAGAAAAAAAACATATTGGGTTGAAGGTTTTAGTTGAGGTAGATAATGGCGATGAATAAAGAAAAAAAACATATTGGGTTGAAGGTTTTAGTTGAGGTAGATAATGCGAATAAGAAAAAAAAACGCGATTGAATAAGAAAAAAAAAAAACATATTGGGTTGAAGGTTTTAGTTGAGGTAGATAATGGCGATTGAAATAGAAAAAAAAAACATATTGGGTTGAAGGTTTTAGTTGAGGTAGATAATGGCGATTGAATAAGAAAAAAAAAACATATTGGGTTGAAGGTTTTAGTTGAGGTAGATAATGGCGATTGAATAAGAAAAAAAACATATTGGGTTGAAGGTTTTAGTTGAGGTAGATAATGGCGATTGAATAAGAAAAAAAAACATATTGGGTTGAAGGTTTTAGTTGAGGTAGATAATGGCGATTGAATAAGAAAAAAAATATAATATTGGGTTGAAGGTTTTAAGGTTAATTTGAGAAAAAAAACAGATTGGGTTGAAGGTTTTAGTTGAGGTAGATAATGGCGATTGAATAAGAAAAAAATATATATTGGGTTGAAGTTTTTAGTTGATATCTGGATAGACATTTGCCTATGAATAGATAAGTAATGAATAAGGGAATAAGTGATTTCTTATTCACTTATTCATTATTATCTAAATAAATAAAATTAATAGACTATCACTAGCTGAAAAGTTTTGTCCATTTGTCAAATTATCGTAGTAAATATACGTGATGCCATATACTGATTTTACAGATTTTATCATTCTTTTTAAGAGTCATTTGTTATATGGGACGAGAGAACAATAGGGAAACACACACACACACACACACACACACACACACACACACACACACACACACACACACACACACACACACACACACACACACACACACAATCTGTAATTTGAATTCTTGTCTTATCGTCGCTCTATAATTTCATTCGTGTACCGGTTTCTTCCAAGCAGTCATTTGCTTAATGGTAACTTTTAATTAGATGCGCGCCAATGTTTGTTTGTCCTCGTTTAAGCTATATTTCACTATAGTTTGATTTCTTTTTCTCTCCTTTCTCTCTTTAGATACTCTTTCTCTTTCTTCCTTTCTCGTCTCTCTCTCTCTCTCTTTCTCTTTTCTTTTCTCTTTCCTCTTTCTCTTTCTCTTTCTCTTTCTCTTTCTCTTTCTTTCTTTCTCTTTCTCTTTCTCTCTTCTCTTTCTCTCTCTCTTCTCTCTCTCTCTCACACACACACACACACACACACACACACTCACTCTCTCTCTCTCTCTCTCTCTCTCTCTCTCTCTCTCTCTCTCTCTCTCTCTCTCTCTCTCTCTCTCTCTCTCTCTCTCTCTCTCTCTCTCTCCCACTTTCCCTCCTCCCCTCCCTCCCTTCCGTCCCACCTTCATCCCCTCCCTTCCCTTCCTCTCTCCAAAAAAGGAACAAAAATTCAGCATCCGTTTTCTCCCAAAGAATGGATCTCCCAAGAGTGGAATTCCCGTCCCGATTCCCGTGGATTCCCAAGAGTGGATTTCCCGTTTTCTCCCAAGAGTGGATTCCGTTTATCTCCCAAGAGTGGATTCCCGTTTTCTCCCAAGAGTGGATTCCCGTTTTCTCCCAAGAGTGGATTCCCGTTTTCTCCCAAGAGTGGATTCCCGTTTTCTCCCAAGAGTGGATTCCCGAGTTTCCCGTTTTCTCCCAAATTCCCGTTTTCTCCCAAGAGTGGATTCCCGTTTCTTGGATTCCCAAGAGTGGATTCCCGTTTTTCTCCCAAGAGTGGATTCCCGTTTTCTTTTCTCCATCTCTGTCCGCAGTATTTTTTTTTCTTATTTTTTCTAGCAGGCCACGAAAGCCATTGGAGAAAAAGACACGTAACTACCAACGTTTGGGAAAAAAAAAGACAGAACAGATTATATTTATGGTGTAGTCTTAGTTTTCGGTGCCCAGAAAATGATGTTTTTACACTTCGAAGTTCATGTTCACCCTTTGCTGTCTGTGTCCTGTGTAACTAAAATGTGACATCTTGGAATAATTTGCAGAATACATTAGTGTTCTGCTTTGATTTTTCGTTTTTTTAGTCTCTCTTTTTTATTTGCTTGTTTTTCCGTTTCCTTCTTTTTGTTGTTTGTTTTCAAAGTTTTTTTTTCTTATCTTTATTATTAGTATTAGTATTATTACTATACTATTATTATGATTATTATCATTATTATTACCATTAGTAGTAGTAGTATCATTATCATTGTGAGGATGATCATTATTATCATCATTCTTATGATGATTATCATCATCATAACTATCATCACTATTATTATTCCTATCATAATATTCATTATTATCACTGTTGTCACTATCATTATTCTTATCATAATAATCACTGTTATTATCTTCATCATTATGATTGTTGTCACCCTCCTTCTTCACCATCTTTTCTTTCTTTACAGCGTACGGAAAACATCGCAGTGCCCGCGTATATGTTGACCGCCCGTACCCTCGGTCCTCGCGCCCCTGAACAGACTGACGCCCCATACTCTCGCGCCCTGAACAGCTGATACAGCTGAACAGCTGACCGATCTATCGCGCCCCCTGAAAAGCTGACCCTGCAACAGACTGACCGATCCTACGCCCTGAAACAGCTGACATCCTGCACGCGCCCTGAACAGCTTGAACCGATCCTCGCGCCCCCCTGACCATCTGCACGCCCCTGAAAACAGCTGACCTATCCTCGCCGCTCCTCTACAGCTGACCATCTGCACCGCCCCTGAACAGCTGACCATCTGCACGTCCCTGAACAGCGGACTGATCTATCGCGCCCCTGAACAGCTGACCAATTTGCACGCCCCTGAACAGCTGACCTCTGCACGCCCACTGAACAGCTGGACCGGATCATGCGCCCCTGAAAAGCTGACCATACTGCAGAACACCCTGAACAGCTGACCGATCCTCGCGCCCCTGAACAGCTGACCATCTGCACGCCCCTGAACAGCCGAATTTCCTCGCGCCCCTGAACAGTGACCATCTGCACCCCCTGAAAGCTGACCCCTGCCCCTCTACAGCTGACCATCTGCAACGCCCCTGAAACAGACCATCATGCAACGTCCCTGAACAGCGGAACTGATCACTCGCGCCCAACTGAACAGCTGACCATCTGCCACGCCCCTGTAACAGCGAACGCGATCCTCAGCGCCCACTGAACAGCTGAACCATCTGCAACGACCCTGAACAGCGGAACCGATCCTCGCTGCACCCTGAAACAGAATGACATCTGCAACGCCCCCTGAACAGCTGACCGATCCTCGCAATTCCTGAACAGCTGACCATACTGCACGCCCCTGAACAGCATGACCCGATCTATGCGCCCTGAAAGCTGCTGACCAATCTGCTACGCCCTGAACAGCTGACGAATCTCGCACCCCTGAAACAGCTGACCCATCTGCACGCCCCTGAAACAAGCTGACCGATCCTCGCCATTCCTAGAAGCATGACCATCTGCACGCCCCTGAACAGCTGACCGATCCTCGCGGACCCGTTGACAGACTGACCATCCTGCACGCCCTTGAACAGCTGACCATCTGCAACACCCTGAAACAGCTGAACAATCTGCAACGCCCCTGAACAGCTGACCATCTGCACGCCCTTGAACAGCTGACCATCTGCACGCCCTTGAACAGCTGACCATCTGCACGCCCCTGAACAGCTGACCGATCCTCGCGCCCTTGAACAGCTGACCATCTGCACACCTTGAACAGCTGACCCGATCCTCGCGCCCCTGAAACAGCTGACCATCTCTGCCCGAGCCTGAAGAGGGACCGATCCTCGCGCCCCTGAACAGCTGACCATCTGCACGCCCCTGAACAGCTGAACGCGATCCCTCGCGCCCCTGAAGCAGCTGATCGCCATGACAGCTGACCGGATCCTCGCGCCCCTGAACAGCTGCCGATCTGCGCCCTGAACAGCCTGGACCATCTGCACGCCCCTGAACAGCTTGACCATCTGCAACGCCTGAACAGCTGACCGACCCTGCGCGCCCGTCTGAACAGCTGACCATCTGTACGCCCCTTGAACAGATGACCATCTGCACGCCCCTGAACAGCTGTTCGATCCTCGCGCCCCTGAACAGCTGACCATCTGCACGACCCTGAACAGCTGACCATCTGCACGCCCCTGAACAGCGGACCGATCCTCGCGCCCCTGAACAGCTGACCATCTGCACGCCCCTGAACAGCTGTTCGATCGTCCATCGCGCCCTGAACAGCTGCATCTGCACGCCCCTGAACAGCTGTTCGATCTCGCGCCCCTGAGCAGCTGGACCATCTCACCGAGCCCTGAATAGCTGCCGATCCTCGCGCCCTTGAACAGCTGACCATCTGCAGCCCCTGAACCAGCTGACCAATCTTGCACGCCCTTGAACAGCTGACCATCTGCACGCCCTTGAACAGCTGACCATCTGCACGCCCCAGCTGACCATCTGCACGCCCCTGAACAGCTGACCATCTGCACGCCCCTGAACAGCTGACCGATCCTCGCGCCCACCTGAAAGCTGACCAATCTGCACACCTTGAACAGCTGACGCGATCCTGCGCGCCCTGAACAGACTGACCATCTGCCCGAAGCTGCTGACGACGTCCTCGCGCCCCGAACTGAGCTGACCACTACGCCCTGACACTGACCGACCTCCGCCCCACTGAGTCGCTGACCATGGTGCCCTGAACAGCTGACGCGATCCTCGCGCCCCTGAACAGCTGACGCATACTGCACGCCCTTGAACAGCTGACCACTGCACGCCCCTGAACATGCTGACCAATCTGAAACGCCCTGAAGCAGCTGACATAATGACGCTGAACACGCTGCACGATTCCTCGCGCTGCCTGAACACTGACCGATCCTGCGCGCCCCCTGAACAGCTGACCAAAAACTGCAACGCCCTGAACAGCTGACATCTGCAGCCCCTTGAACTGCTGACCAATCCTCGCGCCCCTGAAAGCCTGACCAATGCTGCACGCCTTGAAACAGCTGACCGATCCCTCGACACCTGGAACAGCTGACCATTGCCACCGCCCCTGAACAGCTGAACCCGACCTCGCGCCCTGAACAGCTGACCGACCCCTGCCCCCTGGAACAGTCTGACCGACCCCTTGCCCTGAAAGCTGACCCGAACCTTGCCTCTGAACAGCTGAACCGACCCCCTGCCCCTGAACATCCAGCTGACGACCCCTGCCCTGAACAGCTGACCGACCCCATGCCCTGAACAGCTGACCGACCCCCACTTGCCCCTGAATCAGCTGACCGAACCCCCTTGCCCCTGAATCAGCTTGACCAAATCCCATGCCCCTGAACAGCTGACTCGACCCCTTGCCCCTGAACAGCTGACGCGACCCCCATGCCGCCTGACAGCTGACCCGACCCCCTGCCCCCTGACATGCTGACCGACCCCCTTGCCCCTGAACAGCTAACCGACCCCGCATGCCCCTGAACCAGCTGACCTGACCGACCCTTGCCCCTGAACAGCTGACCGAACCCCCTTGCCCCTGAACAGCTGAACCGACGTCCCCTTGCCCTGAACAGCTGACCAGACCCCCTTCCCTGAAACAGTGCCCTTGCCCGCTGACCCTTGCCCCTGAACAGCTGACCGACCCCCTTGCCCTGAACAGCTACCGACCCCTTGCCACTTAACAGCTGACCGACCCCCTTGCCCCTGAACAGCTGACCGACCCCCTTGCCCCTGAACAGCTGACCGACCCCCTTGCCCCTAAAAGCTGGCCGACCCGCTTGCCTGAACAGCTAACCTCCCCCCTTGCCCCTGACGCTAACCTCCCCCCTTGCCCGCTGAACAGCTAACCTCCCCCCTGCCCCTGAACAGAACTCCCTCCCTTGCCCTGAATAGCTTGCCGCCCCTTGCCCCTGAACAGCTGACCGACCCCCTTGCCCCTGAACACAACTCCATGCCCTTCCCCTGACTAATGAGCGTCGGGGGCAAGCGACACGACGAGGAGGCAATATGTCCCCCTGGAATGCCCTCTCGGGACCTACGTGGCTGACCCCGCGTGCACTCCCCGGGGGCGACCTGGTGGGCAGGACCGGTTTGCTGAGGCCGTGCCAGACGCTGCTGCT